AAGGAAGAGATAGAATTGTTTTACGTACAATTCGCTAAGTTTCAGAAGCATAATGACTAAATAATCTCATTGACACCAATAAGACTGGAGTGGAATCGACGCAAAGCGCTAAGAACGAAGCGAAATTAAGCTTAACTGGGTGATTTCAATTTAATTAGGCTTTTGGCTTTTCTTGTATATCTACTTCCTAAAAATTCAAACGATCGAAGTTCAGTGATGAGCGTCAAGGGATCTTAGCTGCAGCCTGATTTAAGAACTACTACAATTAGTAAAGTTTTTTGTCCAAGAAATTGAAGAGAGAATGAAACTAAAGTGGAAAAGATAGCACTCTTTGCGTCTAGTTGCTTTTTGTGAACGTATAAACAGATACATACAGGACATAAGATTTTAGTATAAACCACAACCTTTGAGCTTAGAGGACAAAATCGTGTCTAAAACACTGTCCAATACGAATTGAACTTGATGAGTGTCTGTGGCACAGGTCAGATGAGTGTAGATCGATTTCTCCTTGTTTTCATTTGCTGACATAAATTGTGATTCAATGTATTTGGCTGCTTCGTCGTAATTTTCACCACCTGAGAAGCTCATATTATTATAATGGAGAGGAATGCAGAAAAATTATGGTCGTCTAACAAGAAAATTCCAGCTTTTATGCTAAAATTCTCTTATTTCTCCATAAGCTTAAAGTGATGTTATTTAGCTCTCAATTCTCCCATTTTTGAGTTTTATATGTTTCCGTGGTGCTCAATTTATCGCCTCGATCCTGTGATCTACTTATCCTTTTTGAATTTGTAAATTGCAGCTATTAGAAATGGCATCGCGATCAAAAAATGGAGCCTTTGAAGGCTGGCAAACACATTTGAACCCGCTTTTTAGAAAATATCTGAGTGAAAATGTTGTCTACGAATTTGAAACCATGGCGATAAGTAGAACTCCACGGTTGTCTAAGCATCTTCTAACAACAACTTCTCTACATTTAAACGACAAAGAATTTAATTTGGTTTTTTGTTAAGAGTTAAGCATCAGAGCAAGCTACAAATCAAAATGAGTCACTATTAGTGTCCTTAAAAATAAAGTTGTTTGCAAACAATGGAAGAAATTGATGTTACACCTATTTTATAGTTATAAAGAATTGAATTTAAAAACAAAAGCGTTAAAAAAATCTCACCTTTGTAGTTTGGAAATGCAATCCTCAATGATTTTCCATGTCCTATTTTCTTTTCAAAGAGATCTTTTT